GAGGTTGCTGTGAGCTGTAATGCCACGGCACTCTGCCCAGGGGGACAGCTTGAGGCTCTGTCTCAAAAAAAAAAAAAAAAAAAAAAAAAAAACAGGACAGTCCCTGTCCTCAAGGAGCTAGTTCCCAGTAGGTGCACAATTAAGCTAGGCATTGTGGGAAAGGTCGCATTCATCCAAATCATTGTGGAAGGTAATTGAGATGAGATATAAAGAAGTTAAGGGGAAAATAGGTGAAAGGAATTAATGTTAGACCCAGATTAAGTCAGGACTGTGTGGGCCTATGGCTCAAAGGGGTAAGGCACTGGCCCCATATGTCGGAGGTGGCGGGTTCAAACCAAGCCCCGGCAAAAAACCACAAAGAAGGAAAAAAAAAAGTCAGGACTGTGCTTGAACCAGCCTTTACCTACTGCTCACAGGATTAAGGCCTGGCAATTGAAATCTTCAGTGGCTTTCAAATCCCTGCTAAAGATGACTTCCCTTCTGAAGCTTTCCCCAGCTACTCCAAATGAATAGGTACTAAGCTTTTGCTGTCACCTTATCATGTCTCTTACTTTCCTCGTTAGACAGTGAATGCTTCTGGGGTAGGGAAATGTCTTACATCCCTAATACTTGGCACTCAGGTAATCATTAAATACTTGTCTCATCTGATGAAGACACTGCACCCAGAGAGGTAAAATGACTTGTTTAGGGTTGCCTACCAAGTTAATATAGGGGTTCTAGAACCATAGGATATACCAAGTTAAAGGATGATGAGGAGAATCCTGTGTAGAAGGTGATGAGAGAGGAGGTAGGTGGTTGTAACCTGTTTGTCTGCTCAGCCCCCTGCAGAAGCTGAGCAGTATGGACCCAGCCATGGTGGAGCGCCTCCTGAGCCTGGACCGGCTGCTGGGCTCCCAGGGGAGTCAGGGGGCTCCTCTGCTGAATACCCCAAGGCGAGAGCGGATGGTGCTCATGAAGACAGTGGAGGAGAAGGACTTGGAGATTGAGGTTAAGTGTTGGTTATGGGGGAGGAGTGGGAAGTGGAGCAGGGATTCCTACCGGCCTTGAGAAGTAATCCTAAGATCTTCAAGACAGGGAAAGACATTCAAAGGCTGGACTAACATCTGGTTTTTACCCACCTTGGAAGTTCTCCAGCTTCTGCTTCAATGTTCTTGACATAGCTAAACTTAGAGAAATAGTTGAGATCAGATATGAGGAGGTGAGAAGGAAATTGTTCCAAGAACAAGGAACAAATGTTAGACATTGCATTTACTAAAACTCAGCTCACATTAAGCCAGGACTCCGCTTGAACAATCTTTCCCTTTGCAAAGTATTTCCAGAGAAGCTTGTTTCACCTCTGAGCACCCCCCTGATCAGTACAAAGCCCTTAATTATAATGTGTTCTACTTGTCTCCCAGTAGCTTCTCCCATTGGCCCTAACCCTGCATATTCGTTCCACTAATCCATAGCCTTTCAAGCTGCCCTGGAGTTGGCTCTGGGTCACATTTCTCCCTAATCCTTTCCAACAGAGACTTAAGATGAAACAAAAAGAACTAGAAGCCAAGGTGCTGGCCCAGGAGGCTGCAAACCCAAAGGAGAAAGAGAATTGCTCTCCTACAATGCTCCGACCCCTTTCCCATCGCACAGTCACAGTGGCAAAGCCCCTGAAAAAGGCTGTGGTGATGCCCCTACAACTGAGTAAGTTTGGCTTTAGGGGCCAGGAGGGCATAGATAACTGAGTCCCCATAAAGGAGGAGGTTTTATCAGTAGCTGTCTTTGTATCATTTACATTCTCCCACCATATGCCAGTCCCAGGGAGGGTAGTGGAGGATCTGAAGCAGTGTTGGATGCTCTGTCATCAGGTGTTAAGTACAATGGCATAGACAAGTACGTGCTTGATTACAATGCAAGACCAACTGAGATTGCTTTCAAATACAGGATATAAGAAAGTCATATGGGGGGCAGTGTCTTTGGCTCAGTGAGTAGGGCCCTGGCCCCGTATATCAAGGGTGGCAGGTTCAAACCCGGCCCCGGCCAAAATAGCCAGGCATTGTGGTGGGCTTTTGTAGTCCCAACAACTTGGGAGACTAAGGCAAGAGAATTGCCTAAGCCTAAGAACTGGAGGTTGCTGTGAGCTTTGATGCTACAGCACTCTACCAAGGGTGATGGGATGAGACTATCTCAAAAAAATAAAATAATAAGAAAGTCATATGGGCTTAGCGCCCGTAGGTTACGGTGCCAGCCACATGCACAGAGGGTGGCAGGTTCGAACCCAGCCCCGGCCAGCTAAACAATGACAACTGCAACCCACTCCCCAAAAAACATAGGTGGTGTGGCGAGTGCCTGTAGTCCCAGCTACTTGGGAGGCTGAGGCAAGAGAACTGCGTAAGCCCAAGAGTTTGAGGTGGCTGTGAGCTGTGACGCCATGGGACTCTACTGAGGGCAACATACTGAGACTGTCTCAAAAAAAAGAAAAATGTCATATGGAAACACAAAAGGTTAACTCAGGACAGAGGGGAGCTAGGAAATTAGAAACCAAGACAACCAAGTAGCTACCAGGGAGGGTAAAAAGTGGCCTCTTCACTGACTCCAATTCTCAACTCCTGCTTTCAGTTCAGGAGCAGACAGCATCCCTAAATGCTGAGTTCCATATCCTGAAGAATAAAAGCCGAAAAAGAAAGGTGAGATTATATGGAGGCTCAAGCTATACCCAACGCCCAGGAGAAGTTAAGGGGGAGTGAGCTCTAGGGGGAAAGAGCACTGACCTTGGAATTTTAAGACCTGACTGACACGTGTCAGCTCTTCAGAAGTCTTAACAGCTTGCTGACCCTTGCATGCAATTATGGTACCTTAGCAGGGCATTTAGGGTAACAGCCATATGGATCCTTGCAGAGTGGGTGTTCACCACCTGTTGCTTTCCTACTTGATGGCTCTTGCACTCAGCAGCTACTTGGTGCAGTGTGTAGCCTGGCTCCTGCCCATTATAAACTTAAGAGGGGAAACTTAGGGAAATATGACTCAAGCACATAAGAATCTTTCTCCCTTACCTGTCCAAAATGAAACACCATTAGAACTACCCAGAAACTGAATGGCGGGGGGATGTAATTCATTGCCTTCTCCCGTATATTTCTCAGGAGTGAAGAGGAGTTTATTCTTTCCTATTTGGAGATGAAGGGCCAGATTTAAAAGCTTACTTTGTGCTTTATACTTACAATTCATTTGAGCTTCACAGTAACTCATGAAAAAGGTATTAATATTACCGCTAGGTTCTAGTACTACCTCTCTCCAGAGGGAAGGACTTGGGGGTAGATACTTGATAGGAAAGAGGTTGGACTGAGCAGGGAGGTAGCTGGTGTTAGGTTCCTGGTCTGGGCAGAAGAGTCCAAAGCCCTTTGCTGCCGTTTCTGCCACTTACCTTACCTTGCCTCGTTGGTGGAGTCCCTGGATGGCTCAGAGCCTGAGATGAAGGCTGAGGACTGCTGGGAACTACAGATAAGCCCCGAACTACTGGCTCATGGGCGTCAAAAAATACTGGATCTGCTGAATGAAGGCTCGGCCCGGGATCTGCGCAGCCTGCAGCGCATTGGTCCAAAGAAGGCGCAGCTTATCGTGGGCTGGAGGGAGCTCCACGGCCCGTTCAGCCAGGTAACAGCCGGTGAAGGCAGCAGTAAAATGAGGGGAGACCGAGAGTCCCAAAGCCCATTTTCCTATTGCTGCTTTCCTGCCAGGTAGAAGACCTGGAACAAGTGGAGGGCATAACTGGGAAACTGATGGAGTCATTCCTGAAGGTAAGGTCCCGGGTGTGGCCCCTCCTCTGTCTGGCCTGTGTCCAGCTCTAATGCTGCTTTCCCCTTCCTTTCTGTGTTACAGGCGAACATCCTCAGTCTCGCCGCTGGCCAGCGCTGTGGTCCCTACTGAAGGCTGTCTTTTTTTGTTTTTTAATCGTTGTATAACCGCATGTTGTGTAAATACAGTTCTTATTCCAGTGCTTCAGTCTGATTTTTGGGACTGCGGGGGCGGGGCCGGGATATAATTGCCCTGGGGTGAGTTTCAAGTTCCACCTGCAAACTTCCTTGAGCGCCATCTTGGGGGAAACCAAAAAGCACGCAAGATTGTAAATAAAACACTGGAGTGGGAAGGGGAAAGGACGGTGGCCGACAGGAAGCAAAAAGCTCAAACCCAAGCCTGAGTACGACGACCGTTAGGCGGGCGCGCGCTCAGAGATTAGCCCCGCCCCATCCGTGCCCCCGCGCGCGCTCCCCTACTCCCGCTCAGCAACGACAGCGGTATTGTGCGCGTGCGCGTGAAATAACGGCCGCTGGCGGAGGGAGAAGGGGGGTGGAATCGTTGAGGGGGAAGAGGAAAGAAGCCGCCCTGTCTCCCGCGCGCCCACCACCTGCGCCGTCGTCAGCCAATCAGCAGCCGTCTCAGGGGTCTCGCGCTTGGGGCGACTCGGGCTGCTGGGTGGCTCCCCGGTCCCTCCTCCCGCCGGAGTCCCTCTCGTACCTCCCCCTCCCGCTGGCCTCGCGCGCGCTCGCGCTCGCGCCCGCTCCAGCCTCTTGTGTGTCCTC